TCGATGGGTCTGTTATTTACTAGTGTAGCTTCCGGTTCACCCACGGCAGCAGTGGTACCTACCGTTGGTGTACATACGATGTTATTTTGCGGTGACCTCTCAACCAAGCCACTTAGAGTGCTTGTTAGCCATCTTTCCAGTAGCTCTTTTACCGCTGAGGGTGCTTCCGTAGCCGCAGATGTGGAAGCTCCTTTTTCGTGCAAGATCGTCAGGCCTTCGGATAGGGAAGGTGAGATCTCTGCACCTGGTGTGATGCTAGGGGTTGCATTCAGGATGCCACCGTAACTGGCCTCGTTGAGAGGGCCCAGGAGATTGGTAGTGACACCCAATATGGCTTTCGATCTTGTGTTATTTTGGGCCATTTTCTATTTTTTGTGTGGTGTAGAGAGTGGTAGTTGGTTGATCTCTAGGTGGATACTATGATTTTGATTCTCGAAATCCCCACAGACGGCGCCAAATTGTTTGGCTCAAAAGTTAACGATATACTTTGTAAGCGATAAAACAATCAAAAATAGAAAAGGGGTAAATCGTAATCAAATATAATAAGCCTAGAGATGCAAAGATGATAATATTGTTGTAGATCTGATATTGCAAAGTGATAATGTTTACCAATAAGATATTTTCGTTAGAGGTAGAGATATAGAGAGAGAAAGCCAGAAAAATGAGAGAGTTGTATTCGATCAGATCCCCCTTTTACAATGTGGAGGTCTCCTTTATATAATAGGAGACCTTCCTCGAAAGAATCAAAAAGTTACAAAGATAGGTAATGTCTCCCTAGTGTAGACGCTGAGTTCTAAACGATGTCGCTTTTGTCCTCACGGCCGAGTCGTACCCGCTACGTTGGTCGGCGTACACTCATTGGGCGTACCCACTGGCGTAGAGATACTGAGGGTCAAATTTGACCCTATACACATACCATATGTGCACATTTATCTTAATAACATTATGCCTAAATAATCAAAGACGTATTTGGAAACCAAACTTAAATCAACTTTGTCATCTAAACGAGTCATTTTTGCATCCTAGATATAGATCCAAGTCCAACACAAGCGGTGTTTGGCTCAAATTTTGAAAACGAGTTTTTGCAAAAATAAAAGAATTATTTTGTTGCAAAAGAAAAACTATGTATCAACCAAAGTTCAAGAAAATATACAAAAACTGAACATCTACTGTAATGGACTACATCGGCTTCTATTTTCTCCACCAGATTGAGGTTTCTGCTTTATATTGATTTTATTTCTAATATGCAAAAGGTTACTTGGAATACAGATAGATTTACCAACAAAATGGACCATTCAACCCACCCCCCTAAAATAAGCATTTTGTGCATTTTTGTATACATAACTTTGTCCTTCTTGGAAGATTGAACCCAACAAAAAACCAGTTGGCACAATCTATAAAATACTCATGAATTAAAAGAATAACATTATACCATATTTCCAACTAACCCAATTGAGTCAATCTTGATTAAACAAATTGAGTAACAACATAGAACAATTCCTAAGAGACCCTTTTATTTTAGTATAGTATCTTTCTTTTTGAGTTGCCAGATTAAGGTTAGGTCCCTAACCTCCCCTTCTAGCCACCCCACGAAAATATTAGAAAGGGTTATTATCACTTTTAGCCCGCGCCAGAAACTATTTACATCTAGTATCCGAAAAAGTGTATAAAATTTATATCATTTTTGTATATATATACAAAAATATATAAATTTTATACATTTTTTGGCTATTATTTTTAGCGCGCCTATACAATGTCATTTTTCCTATTAGACACCGTATTTAAAAAGCCCCATTTTTTATCATTACCTAAATAATCCTGTTTGTTGCATTTATCAATCATTACCTCTAAGAGTCCAGCCTTTCTCATACAACTCATACTCCTCCAAATCTTGGGCATTGCCAAGAAGATTAGCAATGCTAATTCTTGTTTAATATCCTCACTCCAACCCAAAACCCTGAATTTATTTGAGAGGTTCAATTATTATCTAGTTGTGATCTTCTCTTTTCTTTCGTGCAATATATGTCACATTAGGCTAGAGAAGATCAAGATTTTAATGTTTTTTTTGAAGAAATGAGGATGATTGTTGATGGGGTCTAACAATATATGTCACGTCATCCTACTAATGTCTTGGCTATTATTGTTATTGTTGTTATTGCCATCAAAAGTACGAGGATCAAGTCATACATTAGATCGAGACTTATTAGATTCATTCATTCATGATTATGCAATCAAGAATATGACGAAACGTTATACAGGTAAATTGTATAATATTTCCCTCCCTACAAATTTTTCTGGCATGGAAACTTCAATTATTCGATTTAGAAGTGGAAGTTTTTGGAGAAAAGGAGCCAAGTTTAGCTTCTTCCACATCCCACCAAGTGTATTACCATGGCCTTTTGTTAAGAGATTTGACATCATTTATGAAAATCTTGGTAATTGGTCATCTAAATACTATGATGTTCCAAATTACACATTTGTAACTCCTGTCATAGGTTTTTTAGCATTTGATGCAAATAGAAGCAGAGAAAATTATGGAATGGTTGAGCTCAACATTATGGCAAATCACATTTTGGTTCATTTTCCACACATATCTCTGCCACAAGACCAAAACAAGAATGTGACAATGAAATGTGTTAGATTTGTCACAAATGGCAGCATAGAGTTCAGCAATGTAACGATGAATAACTCGTGTATATCGCGAGGACAAGGCCATTTTTCCATAGTCATTCCTTCATTGAAACCAGAGGAGAAGGAAAAGAAAAGAGGACAATGGAAATGGTGGGTAATAGGATTTGGAGTAGGAGTTGTTGGATTAATATTGTTGATTTTTATTGGAATTTTAGTATATAAATGTGTTAGGCTAAAAAGGAGGAAAAAAATGGAGAGACAATCTGAAAAAAGTGAGGCTTTGGACACAGTTTGGGTTGGGAATAGCAGAATGCCTTCTGCTTCAGGTATCAGAACTCAACCAGTTCTTGAAAATAGTTATGTTCCTTGATTCAATTTTTGTTTCTTTTTTCCCTTTGTTGTTTTCACATTTTCACTTTTTGTTCTTTCCATTTTAAGGTGTATATATATTCAGGTCTCATCAAATTCATTTATTTTAGGAAATCAATGTAGTATGAATCATGAACATTGCTCACATTTCTCCCCATATAACCAAAATTCTCATGGATAGTTTCTTGGAATTTTTATTTGACCTCATCTTAACTGGTAAAGTTGCTGCCATATGACCAGGAGGTCACGGGTTCGAAACGTGAAAACAACCTCTTGTATAAATGCATAATAAGGTTGTGTAACGATAGACCCTAGTGGTCCGATCCTTCCCTGAACTCCGCCGCATAACGGAACCTTAGTGCACCGGTCTGCCTTTTTTTATCATCTTACTATTTTATAGGAGCAGGGAATAATTCAACCCCAAATTAAATTCTGCTCCTACCCTCCAAATAAGCGAATAAAATAAGAAGGCAATGTGCTTTCTCTAAAGAAAACTATGCATAAAAGGTGAGATTCCTTTTGAGTGTACATACTGTCATTAAACTTTATGGTTGGTTGAGGATATTAATTTAATCCAATGAAGAAACTCCAAAATGATTAGAATGTTCTAAAGTGAGATCATTAACTGATTATGCTTAAATAATACAATGCCATTTAAATATTAAGTTGACTGTTCTATGTGAAAGAAACATTCAGAGTCTACAATAATTAGTGAAGTCACCTCATTAGGTTTTATCCATTCAGGCTCACATACTAAATTTATTCTTGACAGGAAGAAGGCACAATTACCTACAACTTTGTACTAAAACCAAATTTTTATAATTTTTTGGCATAAAGATCAGCACATCTGACCTTTTCTCCTCAAAATGTATGGGCCAACCTAGAATTTTAGAATAATCTTCTGTTGAGCTGTCTGCTTGTTTGCTAAAGCTTGATGTGTAAACTAAGAATTTCCTAAATGATTATAGCATTTGAAATTGTTGTTTCTGATGTAAAGAGTAGTATTTTTCTTTTTTCTTTATTTTTTTTTTTTTTGTGATGACCTCATGATTAAGTTGAATTACAGTTTTAGAAGAAGAAAGGTTTGTTCTTTTTCTTCAAACTTTTTGCAAAGTCCACTCTCAAATTAAACAATACCTAATGATAAATTGACATCATATGGATATGGATGGATTGAATTTTTTAAGAAAATTAGATTAGGATATGGATCACAGCTCATAGATTAAGTTTGTTTTCATGGGATGGAATTCAATAATCTTAATTTCGATTATCAAAGTCTTGTAAAGCTTCCATTATCTGTCGCATTTTAAAGTTAAGTCATACCACTAAATAAATCTTAAAAATTTAACAAAAATAATCCTATAGACGCTTGATGATGGTTAATATTATCAGTTTTAGCTCTTCTATATAAACACGTAATCGTTAGATCAATTCAGCATTTAAAGGTTCTTTTCAGCTTGTAATGCTTATCAACTACTTTCAATCGGTAAAGCCAAACGGACTATCAAGTTATTAACAATGTATTATATGAACTTGATGCTAATAATCAAAGCATCAAGAAATTTTCATTCCTTTGGCTAGTAGTGACTCATGAATCATGGTTTACATAATTGCTACACACAAGAAACAATGGAGTCAACCTATAGGCTAGATATCACAAAGGTGGTGAAGTGGGAAAGGAGGATCAAAATAAGAACCATTTAGAATGGCATATACAGTGAGTTCGTTTGCTGCATCTGTAGTATGTATTCCATCCCAGCTTACATAATATTCTGGATCTTCACAAGCCTTGGCTGTCACTGTAGTTCCATTTATTTGTTTGGTATTTCCACAGAATACTTGCTGGTTAAAATTGTAGGCACCACCTCCATATCCACAACATGCTTTGGTTCCATATTTTAGCCCTGCAAAAAAGAACAAAAAAACAAAACAAATTAGGCCTTTCAAGAGCAAAACATGTAGTATTCAGCATCTTTAAAAAGAAAATAAATACCATGAGAAGTAGGGTGTTGGAAGAGGTCCAAGAGCACAGCATGAGAATCCACGTATACTACATTTGCATCACAAATTTCTTCTCTTGTTTTTGCCAATGCTGCTTTGAGCATATTGTTATAATCCACCACTGCATTATTGTATGATATTAAACAACCAAACTGGTGGATATCAGAAGTGTTATGAGGCAGCTCCACCAGAAATGCAGGGTAACATCCAATTGGTGCTAAATTTAGTACCCAAAATGTTCTCCCACCCAATGCATATATCTCCTGGCAAATAGAACAGAACCAACATCATATAGGCGTTCAGTTAGTTTGAGAACGAACTCATAATCAGATGTTTCCTCAACAACTATCTTCTTTTATTGAATGTCTTATCTCTCCGTTCAATGCTTTATCAAATAGCTAGCCAAACTTTTTTTATAAGATCGTTAAACACTTTAACATGATATTAGAGCAGATAGATGTCTTGATTCAAATCTCACAGCCATTTATTTATCAAGGAGAGTTAGCATGTGCTTCATCTAGGAAAAGAGAGTCAGACCATGTATTGAAGATATAATTAAGTAAATTAAAGTTTATTTTATCCAATAATTTTAAATTTTTAAATAAGATGGTTACACAATTCAACAGATTAACTGTATTATTTTTCTGAAGTCAGAACTTGGGCTTGATCATATCTAAATGCATTTTCACTTTACGCTCACACATTGGTTTTCCAAAAGAAAACATAAAATAAAAAGAGAAAGAAAAGACGAGCGACTAATTATTCACCGAATGCTAGAAGGTCAAAGATCTTACCTTGATGGTGCTAACAATTTGAGAAATCAGTTGAGGTAGAAACTCTTTCACTCCAATTATTCCTATTCTTGCCAGATTTCCAGTGAAGTCATTTTGACCAATGTAGAATGTATAGAGCGACTTTCCAAATACGTCGGGGGAAGGCAGATTAGTTTGCCCTGAAAAATTCGGACATATTCGGTTATGGTTAACAATAAAAAGTAATATTCCTCGAAAATGTTTTAGAATGGAACACTAAGGTATACCTTTATGCTGAAGTTCGTCGACTTTAACCTTAAATTCTTTCATTTGTCGAAGCTGAATCTGAAGAGAAAAGGGGCTAACTCCAGTAACAAATAAAGAAGTTTGTGGCAAGCGCACTGTGGATGCCGCTGTTGCAAAATTTGCACCATGCCTGAATTGATTGCAGATATGGACTCAAAAATGGCAAACCTAACGCTTGAGCTGCACAGGAGGAATGACTAGACTTTCAAAAACAATTTGAAGGTTTAAACAACAATGTAGGAGAGGCAGGACGAAGGACAGCTTTATGTGATCATCTTATCTAAAAGCAAAGGTAGATATAGTGTATCAATACCGGGTTCATCTGAACTCAGTTCGTTTGATGCGGAACATAAATTTATATTTAAAAATTCACTAAAATTGCACCAAATAGTAAATATGAATCCATAACCTTAAAGATACAACAGTTTCAACATTAATAATGTTAAAGGTTGAACTCATGCAGCTTAAATTATGGATTCATCAATCATCATCAGTGTTATGGTATGGTGGCAAGAATTAGGGACCAGAACACTCAATAAAAGGGCTAATAATGGTTAGGATAAGGATCTAGGACAGAACCTATATATTGACAAACAACAACTTCCAATGATTATCAGAACATGCATGGACCAATATTGCTGCTTTTTCCAGCAAAGATTATTTTATTTACTTGTAAATGCAAACTCCTGTAATCTCAGTCCGAAAGTTTACAGGTCCTTAAAGACATGACACTAACACAGTACACTTCGTCTCCTTCATATTATCTGGCCTTTAAGATATTTAATAGTCTAATTCATAATACTGTTTGTAAAAATAAAAACTATCCTTTATCTGTCCGTTAAACGTCTGTCTTAATTAATTCGATTGAAACAGCAAGAGCATAAACTAGAACCGATGTTGGGAGCGATGTTTTTGTTAATCTGATTTTACAATGTTTAATGCTTATCATGGAACAAATAAAAAACATAATTTTAAGAAATCATGTTTTCCAAGATGGCAAAATACTATAGCAACAGCCAACAAGCACGCATTACTAAAAATGTAGTTCAAGCATAGTCAATATGATCACTCCTTATTTGTCAGAAGAACAACAGAAGGCATCACTATAGTGTTAGTATATGTTGATGATATGTTAATTACAGGGGATATCTTGAAACTGGTTGAGGAGAGAAAAGCTTCATTACAGCAGGCTTTTAAGATGAAAGACTTCAGGGAACTAAGATATTTTCTGAGAATTGAGTTTGCAAGTTCCAAGCAAGGGATTATCATGCATCAAAGGAAATATGCACGAATTATCTCAGTAATATGGCTATTTGCAGCCAAACCAGGATTATCATGCATCAAAGGAAATATGCACGAATTATCTCAGAAGTATGGCTATTTGCAGCCAAACCAATGGAAACTCGTATTGACATCAATGTCAAGCTTACCTCAAAGATGTATGATATCACATTAGTACTGCAGGAAAAACATAAGAAGATCCTCTTCCTGATCGGACCTCTTATCAAAGATTAATAGGTAAACTCCTACACTTGACAGTTACTAGGCTTGACGTCTCATTAAGTGTTCAAACACTAAGTTTACTTCAACCCAAAAAATAACATATGGAAGCTGCTTGCTCTAAGAATTGTGAAATATGTGAAGAACCAGCCAAGTCAAGGAATACTATTATCCAGCAACTACAGCAATACAATTACTGCATACTGTGATGCAGACTAGGTAGCATGTCATCTTACCAGAAGATCTATTACAGGGTTCCTAATCAAAGTTGGTGACTCCTTAGTTTGAAGGGGAGCCTTGGCGTAACTGGTAAAGTTGATGCCACGTGACCAAGAGTCACGGGTTCAAGCCGTGGAAACAGTCTCTTGCAGAAATGCAGGGTAAGGCTGCATACTATTGACCCTTGAGGTCTGGCCCTTCCCCGGACACCGCGCATAACGGGAGCTTAGTGCACCGGGCTGCCCTTTTTTTTTTTTTACTCCTTAGTTTCCTGGAAATTAAAGAAACAAACTATTGTATCCAAGAGCTGAACAAGGACTTGTGTCTACTAAATACATCTCTATTAAAGACCAACCAGCAGATATTC